CTCTTACCATCGGTTGGAACGGTTGAAGCAGACGAGGGGGATGAAGTGAATGTGCTGGTTGTGTTGGATTGTGTGTGAAGAGTGAGTGGAATTTCTGGAGGATATGTACTAGTAGAGCTGGCTACGGGTGAAGGTGACGCTCTGAGGATATCTGTTACTTTGGCGGTGATGCCTTCAGCGATAACTGTGGAGGACGGAGTAGCGCTAGGAGTTGTGGACAAACCAGAAGTCTCTTCTGAGGAAGAGCGGCTACTGGTTCTTATGTTTGATGTTCCTCTATCAGTTTCGGTGGTGCCGGATGCTGCGCTTGTTGTCTGCTGGTCACCTGATTCAGGAGTAATAGTCGCCCCAGAAAATTGTTTGCTGGTTCCTTCCGCTACTTCTGATGATGTACTGACTGTTTCTTGAATGCCATCTGTGCTCGGAAAGATTGTTACTTCTAACGAAGATGTGCTGGTAGTGCTGCCCATGGATACTTCTGACGTGGTGCTACCTGCTCCTGCAACGCCACCCGTGGAAGAAGAAGTGCTGGCAGTGCTTGTCTCTGATAACGCAACTGATGGGGAGCTTCCTTTCTCTCCAATCCTATTCGGACTAGAAGTTATTGTGACTTCTGAAGAAGATGGTAGTGTAGTTCTGATCTCCATTTTAGACGGAGAGCTACCTATCCCTTCAGTGCCCTTCGTGGGAGACGTCGTGCTGGTGGCGTTGGTTCGCGATGAAACGTCTGGCGGAGTGGAAGCTATCGCCTCCACGCTGCTGGAACTTGAAGAGATGGTCACTTCTGAAGAAGGCGTGCTGCTTATTGTGCTTTGTGATAGCGTACTGGGAGTCGCGGTAACTTCAGGCATCGGACTACTTGTTCTTTTAGCTCCCATTATTTCAGTAGTGAGTTTTGTTTCTGGAGAGAACGCGGACGTTGTATCCGTTGCTCCTCTGGTTGTGTTAGTTGTCAAGGAAGTAACGCTTTCTGTGCTAGAAGTCGCACTGACTTCTGAAGAAGAAGTGCTTGTGATATCCTTTGCTTCAGCAGTTGTGCCAGTTGTTTCTTTAACGCTGCCTGAACTTGGAGTAACGGTACCTGCGCTGGATGTGATGGTTGTGGTGCTAGAAGTACTGGTCACATTTGATAGAGACGT